ATCCTGCTTTTTGATACACCAGGAAAGTACGAGCGAATACGAGTAGTAAAGTGCTGCAAGAAGCTTAGAAGCACTTGCGGTGAACGATGGAAGGACCGCTCTCGTCGTACTCCTGCTTGGAAATCCACATCTGCTGGAAGGTGGACAGGGAGGCCAGGATGGATCCACCGATCCAGACGGAGTACTTGCGCTCGGGGGGAGCGATGATCTTGACCTTCATGGAAGAAGGAGCAAGAGCAGTGATCTCCTTCTGCATACGGTCGGAGATACCGGGGTACATAGTGGTACCACCAGACTAGAGAGATCTATGTTAGTGGGAGTTTCGTAAAGTTTTATTCCGAAGGCTTTGCTTACCATGACAATGTTGCCGTACAGATCCTTACGGACATCAACATCACACTTCATGATGGAGTTGAAGGTGGTGACGTGGATACCGCCAGATTCAAGGCCAAGAACGTTTGGCTGGAAGAGAGCCTCAGGAGCACGGAAGCGCTCGTTACCAATAGTGATGACCTGTCCATCGGGAAGCTCGTAGGACTTCTCGAGGCTGGAGCTCTGGGAAGCGGTCTGGATCTCCTGCTCGAAGTCGAGAGCGACGTAGCAAAGCTTCTCCTTGATGTCACGGACGATTTCACGCTCGGCAGTGGTGGAGAAAGTGTAACCACGCTCAGCGAGGATCTTCATCAGGTAATCGGTCAAATCACGGCCAGCCATGTCGACACGCGAGATAGCGTGGGGCAGAGAGAAACCCTCGTAGATGGGAACAACGTGGGTGACACCGTCACCGGAGTCCAGAACGATACCAGTGGTACGACCGGAGGCGTACAGGGACAGAACGGCCTGGATGGAGACGTAGAATGCGGGTGCGTTGAAGGTCTCGAACACGATCTGGGTCATCTTCTCACGGTTGGACTTGGGGTTGATGGGAGCTTCGGTCAAGAGAATGGGGTGCTCTTCGGGGGCAACACGGAGCTCGTTGTAGAAGGTGTGGTGCCAGATCTTCTCCATGTCGTCCCAGTTGGTGACAACACCGTGCTCAATGGGATAACGGAGCGTGAGGATACCACGCTTGGACTGTGCCTCATCACCAACGTAGGAGTCCTTCTGACCCATACCAATCATGATACTGCGCGCATGTTAGTATTTTTGGTTGCTTCATTGGGGATCAAATTGGTTGTATTTAGTGTATACGGCCAAAATGACCCAAAAAAAAAGGGGGGGATTATTTACCCATGGTGACGGGGACGACCGACAATAGAGGCTGTTGAATTTTGTCAGTGATTTGATTCTCGGATTCAAGGTTCTTCCCAGCCAAGCAAAAGAGGGGAAGCCATCCGACGCAAGGGTTGGTGGGATGGCCTTTGCAAGGAGGGGTGTCATATTCTGTGGGGTTGAACTTACGGAAGACAGCTCGTGGTGCGTCGTCACCGGCGAAACCGGCCTTACACATACCCGAACTACATCGCAAATCATCAGTATCATAGTTCTTGTAGTCTTCAGAGCGCCATTTGGGAGTTGTGGAGGGAGATGGAAAGCCATTGGGATGGATTCCATCTGCCGTTGTGGCCGATTAGGGGTGGCGAAGACCGCGACCGGGCTGATTTGTCGACCAGGCCCGAACACAAGCCAGAAGCTCCCGGGAAAAAGCATAGCACTTACCCATTGTCGATGACGAGAGCAGCAACTTCTTCTATAATGAGAGATACGGGTTAGTTGTCATTCGCAAATAGGATTCGAAGCTGTGGCAACAGGGGGGGCAGCTTCCGGGGAAGCTGCTGATGTGGCCACATCGAGAACAACATACCCTCCATTGTGACAGATTAAACAAGGAACCTAGGGGAGAAGGAAAAAAAGAAAAAAAAGATGGAATGAGGTTAGAGGGGGGGGATATAGTTGGGATTAGGGGAGAAGGGAAGAAGGAAGAGAGCGAGAGAGAGAAGAGTGGAGAGGGGTTTGTGATGGCTGGGATTGTGCGCTGCCTGAGGCCTTCTATTTTTGACCCCCTCCGATCTACAGGTTTGGATTCTTTCTGATCCTTTTTTATATATAAGTTAATCAGAAGGCAGAACTATTTTCAATTTGAATACGTCCCTTTGATCCCTTCAATCTTGTCTACCTAAAGCATTGCGTGGACATTCTTGAGCCTCCAGACTCTTCTGGGTACCGGGGGGGTCCAATACGTACCATGACCGGGTTAGGCACGTTAGGGCGTCTACTTCAAGGTTGCATTACAATGATTACAATGACCGTGTCAGACATACAGACGACATACAAAAAGGCATACAATTGTAGTCCAAGTGCTTCCCGGTAGGCTCCTGGATTCCCCGTGGCGTGTTCTAAGTATAGGACACAGACCCAGACTTCAGCCCTTGGGGTAGACAGCCGTTCCAAGGTTGTTGGAAGTGGACACGCACACCTAATAATGCGTATAAGGGATAATACGGTCTGAGAGTCTCAGACCGTCACTACCAGAACGATTTATCGCAGGTGGTTACCGCCATTTGCCAGGGCCTAAGAACAACTAAGCCTCTTAGAATGGTGAGGCGGTGAAATACTGCCACGTGACATCTTGGGAACGAAATACGAAGTGTAGACTCTTCTTTTCGATCTGATCATTTATTTACCCCTGATTTTGTCTCCTGTTTTGTGATCTCCTGATTTTACGAATGGGAATATGTCAGCCCATCTTGTCCTTCTTTGTGGCAAGGCTTTCTGCCAATTGACCCCTCCATCGGCAACCAAGTTCTTCGAATATGAACTTTAAGCCCCTTGAACTATATCTTGGCAGAGGCTCGGCTTCGATAACCCGGTTCTAGTACATTCGAAGACTTGATAAACTACCGGAAAACCCCATGCCCGAAGAAAATAGCAACTTAACAACTTGGCTTTAATACTACATCCTTCAAAATGAAAATAACAGAAATGAATTCCTACAAGCGGTGCTTTAGTCGGTTACCTAAATTTTCGAGTCCGAAATGGTTAGGCCCACCAAGTTATCCTGCTGAACGGTTCCAGCAAACTACGAACGAGTTATTGGAAATCACACTCATGCTAGCACTATTCAAACCGCCGAAACTCAACTTGGTGATAACGTTCTTTCAATTCATATTTCAGGTATTGCCATGACGGGACTTTGCTCCAGGTTTCCAGTGACAAACGAACATAGATCAAAGGGTCAACACTCGAATCTGTTCGTAGCTCAACGATGTGGGATGAAAGTTATGGAGTTCTCGGCTTTATGATGTCAAAGTGCTTCAATTGAGACTATCCATACAGTCTATATTGTATCTGTAATCTATGATGACTCCAGGTCAAGGTTTTGACGGTCACATGATCGAACCCGCTGGTCGCCGCGCGAATCACCCAGAGTCGTCCCTCGCCAGGACGTAGATTATGTCAGCGGGCCTTTTTTCCAACTGTAGAAAAGTATTGAAGATCGCGCGACTGTAACAACACTTGTGTGATACATAGTACATCAATTTCTGTCCTGCGACATATACTCTCTTCCTACTCTCTTCTTCGTTAGCCCCCCTCCAAAAACAACACACCCTACGCACCGACAATACAATTACCCCGCCAGCCCACCATGGACCCCGAAATGAACAAGCTCCTCAAATGGAGTGTCGCCAACTCCCAGGCATCTGCAGGCGCCGATGGCGAGGGCAGCGCCCCAAATCTCCCAGCAGCCGCGTCAAGCCTGACCCCGCAAATGGTGAACACGCTCTTTGGCGGCCCCTCCGACGCCGACCTGATGCGGGCGGCGATGGAAGTCGTGCACGACAACGAGTCCGATCTGGAGAACAAGTTGATCGCATTCGACAACTTTGAGCAGATGATTGAGGGGATCGACAATGCGAACAACCTCGTCCCACTCAATCTATGGAAGCCGCTTGTCGAGCTGCTCAAGCACGAGGAGGCCGAGATCAGACGTATGGCCGCTTGGTGTGTTGGAACAGCCGTGCAGAACAACCCCAAGGCACAGGATCAGGTATGAAAAACTCTAATTGATCTACGAAGCATAATAATCAGTAACTAACACATCCGCCAGCTCGTCGACCTAAACGAAATCCCTACTCTCGTCAACCTCGCCACTACAGAATCAAACCCCGCAGCCCGCAAGAAGGCAATCTACGCCATCTCCTCTGCAGTCCGGAACCATCAGCCTGCCCTGGATGCGCTGAACAAGAGCCTCCCAGCAGGTTATCCCACCGACAAGACCGACGCCGCCGACATGGACGGCATTGATACTATCATGGATAAGCTGCGGGCCCACCAGGTAAATGCATCGGCATGAAGGGGGTGAGCGACGACTGGACTGTAAGAGTCAGAATACACAAAGACACAGGGGCAGCAAGATACCCATTGAATGCGAGTCCGTCCCTTGGGACTGGCCCTGTGTGTGCCAAGGGCTGGCACTCACCGTGCGACAAGCAAGGCTGTTAGTACAACTGCGTTGAGCGCTGTGATGACAATGCTAGGCTTTGATGCTGATACATACCGGCAATCATTTGATGTGCGGATACCCGAAATGGTTCTGCATTGGTTCCTGGTTACTTGGTGGCCTTAGGGTTGCATCAGCATGGTTGAACAACCTGTTTTTTGTGGTCTAAGCATATATTTGAATTATACATACCCAGGGACTTTGGTCCCACATTAAATGCAATCACGAGTATCGACTGTCAATCTCAAATCTGTATCTAATTCCGTGCCTATGCTGCCCCATGCGGCCTAAAATTGGACTGCTTTGTTGTTGTAATGGTATATTCCAAAGAATCCAATACATAAATGTACTATACCTTAGCTCATTAATGAGAGACTTCAAGAAAAGCAGAAACAAATTTCCTACAGATTAGAACTCACGTTGCCCCCCTTCCAAGGTTGCTTGATGATATCCATAGATATTCCGGAACAACATTTCTCCACCCAGACATCGTCATTGGACTCCAGCTCTCACCAGCACCATCCCCTCAACCAAGACTCCATCCTCCACAAACCCCAAAATGGACAGCTCAAGCAACCGACTCTTCCGCTTCTCCAAGCCAGAATGGCTGAATAACTCCGCCGTCCGCAATGGCGGAGTCTACGTCGCAGGCGCCCTGGTAAGCATCCGATCCACCCTCCTCCACCTCCACCCGAGACCAGGCTGTCGCGACACCGCAAGCTCAAAGCCTTCAATTCCAAATCCAAATAAAACGGAATTCAATCTCAGATCTACCTCAGAGACATTCCACACACAAATTTCAAAAATTTCTCAGCATCAAAAGCTAACAAAAAACCACCCGTACAATAGTTCGCAGCAGGCTTCTTCTTCCTAATCGACGTCGCTTCATTCTCGCGCAGCCCACGCAACGGCTCAGACGTGCATATCAAATTCGTCGACTGGATCCCCGGTATCTGCTCCGCGCTCGGAATGCTGGTTATCAACTCGATCGAGAAGAGCCGGCTGCAGGCTGATAGCTTTAGTTACAGTGGGAGTGGGGTTGCGTGGAAGGCGAGGTTTGTGCTGTTTTTGGGTTTTGCGTTGCTTGCTGGTGGTTTGGCTGGGAGTGTGGTATGTATATGTTCTTTTTTGCTCCTGCTACTTCCCTGTTGGGGTGGAGACATTGGGGGTGCTTTACTAACTCGATTCCCCATAGACGGTTATGGTTCTCAAGTATCTCATCAAGGATTATCCTATGCAGACGCTTTACTTTGGAATTGCGAATATTGTGGCCAATGGGCTTGTTATGCTTAGGTATGTGTTTTGGCTGATTCGATGTTATTTGGCATAAAGGTGTGCTTGCGTGCTAACAAAGCTATTCCTGATCTAGCTCGATCGTCCTCTGGGTCTCTCAGAACATTGAGGATGACTACACCTACAATTTGGCTCTGTGAGGCAGGCTGCTTCAATCTATTACTCTGTTTGTATTCTACTCGATTTCCTTGCTCTGATGACTTTGTACCGCGATGCATTACGTGCATCCGCATCTTTGGCTGGGATTGGCGCTTTAGCATGAATTCATTTACATTTTATGTTTTGCGTGGTCTCAGTTGGGAATACTTATTATGGCAGGTTCTGAGATGTCTAGGACACAGATATACGAGTAAACAGTAGAAGTAAACATTATCAAGAAAGTATCATTGCAGCTATGCATGAAGAAACAAATGCCCTAAGCAGAACCGCCCCTCGAACACCAAGTCCCATATATGCATTCATGAAATCGTAAAATCACCATCACCCATATTACCCTCAACCTCCTTCAATGCTCCTCGCAGAACAACCTCAATAACTCATCAATACAAGTCATAGCCTTCTCCTTCGCCAACGCCGAAGGCGCCAACCCCGGTGCCTGCTTCAAATACCTGCGGAGCGCAAAAGCAGCAGCCTTGTACGTTGCATGGTACATAGCCTTGAACTCATCATCATCGGCAGTGCTCCCCGGCGCAGGCGTTTCAGCACGCAAAGCCTCCGGCGCGGGCGTAGTTCCCGAGACATCAGCTTCATTCTCCGCACCAGCACCACCTGACGGCTTCCCCGTTGATGTAGAGCGTATGTTCGCACGGTGGAACCCATACAGACGCATACAAGTCAAGATCGTGCGCGTGATGAGATTCTTATTCTCCGCAATTACAGTATCAGGATCCTTAGCCGGCGAGCCAGGCGCAGATACCGGTTTTTCCTCAGAGACCGAGAGAGAGGATGGGCCCTGGGCCTGCGACACCTGCGCTCCACGGCGCGGGGCGGAATCCAAGAACGGGTTCGGTGTTGGTGCGCGCTTTTGCGGATCGGCGTTTAGGGCTGGCGTTGCGCGGCCGCGTACGCTACCTGGGCGATGGAGACCTGCTCCGATGGAGACGGATCTGGAACGATGCGAGACGATCCGGTCGAGGGACGGGAGGGTGGGTCCGTCTTCATCAGGTTCGCGCTTTATACGGAGGGTTTGAAGGTTCTGGGATGATGAGAGAGGTCGTGAGGGTGCCATTAGTTGTGAGACGGCTTCGCCGCCTCGTTGGCGGACGCGGCGGTGGTGTTGTGCGGCTACTTCGAAGAGAGTTGCCACTCTTTTGCGTTTTGGACTCGGGGAGCTTATGTCTGGTAGGAACTCTGCGCAGCGTGGGTTTGCGATGGGTTGATCTGGGTTTGAGGGTGGTGGAGATGGGTAGGCTTGGGCTTGGGTGAGTCGGGATGTTGAGAGTGGCGCGGCGTAGATTCTGAGTTCGTAGGGAGTACGCTGTGGTGTAATGCTTTGATCTGGGATCTCGAAGGGGGATGAATGTGGTGGAGTGGGTGGGCGTGTGCATGATGCTGCGCCGGATAGTATGCCGTAGACTAATAGGCTTGTTGGGGTTGCATTGTCTGATTTAGTGTTGCCTTCGACGGCAACTAGCAGACCGACTGGGCATTGGAAGGATTGCTGGAGTGCTGGGTCTTCTTCATCTAGCCAGAGGGCGCCGGTCAGCTTCCTCTGCAGCCATTTTGATGTCCTCGCGTGGGATGTGTGTAGCTCGAGATTACGACCAGCGCGTGCATGCAGTGGGATGAGTGCTGGGTTAACGAAACTACGGAGACTGAGTTGGGACTCCTTGGATAGCTCGGACTGCCAGTAGGAACCTGGATCAACCAGTCGAATCCCTGGTTAAGTCGTCAGCGAGGAATATGATGCGATACGTGTGTGGTTTACCTTCTAACTTGGAGTCCGAGCTGAGAGGGATGGATCCCGTCCAGACATTCATCTTGTTATCTAAATCCCGGAAAGACCTTTCATGGGTTCAGCATAGTGACATCAATTTGGTATAGTTGTGTTGTTTCCAAACTGATCTGCTGTTATCTCCGAATCTCTGCACACGCGCCGAATCCACGCGCGGTCACGTGGGCAATAAATCAGACTAAATAAATCAGGCAAAATCTTGGAAGGGAATAATTGTGAATAATTTCAAAAGCTAAGTAGAATTGGAAATTTGGATTCCTCATTTCTTCAGAAGAATTCTCTATATCCACTAGGTTATAGTACACCTAGAGTAGCACAGCCAGGTGTTGGCGCCATCGCCATTTAAATTGAGGCACACCCCGCATCAAATCACTCATACATAGCATATCAAGCATACGCTGAAATCAAAAGAAAAAGTAGAAAAAACAGATATCATCATGAAAGCGGGATGCCGCGAGACCCACTGGCCTAGAGTATAGGTATAGTTCTTGGCCACCCCGCGCCTCATCCAGTCTGGGCGATCAGAACTCTTCCTGTTCCTGGAAGAACATTGAGAAGCTAATAATGGTGCCGTAAATCAATAGGCCTCCGAAAATCGACATGATCATTGCTGGGATCTCGATTGCGCCGCTGTGGGCGAGGACGATAGGAAGGGCTAGGGGATAGGTTAGTTGGATAATCATCAATGGCGCAATGATGGGGCAATTAGTATAGACACAGCAGGTTCTAGTTACGAAGAGTCGGCTGGTCGAGCGATGATATGTCCCACAAGAGGGGTTGTTGAACCAACGACGTACCAATGCCAGTAAGAACCAAAAATCCGGTCAGGAACCGTCCAAAGTCCATCGCGGAGTTGCTTGAGCTGTCCATGAAATCATCTGGGTTTGCGCATCGTTGGCAGATCCAGTTGGGAAGCGGCGCAACAACGTAGATGCCGACCACCAGCAGCGGCCAGTACCTGTGCCATAGCGCGGAAGAGAGGATAACGAGGAGGAAACCAATTGCAAGAACCTAGTCAGATGTTAGCAAATATTTAGGATCCAGGAAAGCAGTGGAATGAAACGTACAAAGGAGAGGGCAATGATGGTCTTGAGTCCAGCAGCCATGATTGCGGAGTCGCCGAAAGCCGATCAATGGGATTAAAGGTGGGAGGAGTAGGAGTTGTTGAACTGGGTAGAACTAGGAGACAATATCAAGAGCAGATCAAATATGACAGCCCCATTGGCCGAGTGCAGAAAATCAAAGAAGGACAGTACAGCGACAAGCTGGAGATGAGCTCGAGAATGAGTGACGTTGGCGCCTGAAGGTCACTGGATATTGTTGCCTCAGGCACCAACAGCTCATGCTTCACACCGCGTCACTTTACTGCCTGCCCCAGCTCCCCCATTCTCCCTCCATCACCGGATTATCCCTCGGATTCTTGAGTTACTGTTCCTGAATCTCTATTTATCAACAAGAATCCATTTTCTTTATTTGCTTTGATATCCATTCAACCCTGTCCGTCACGATGTTCAGAAACAATTACGACAACGATGCCGTCACCTTGTAAGACCAGGTCCCCGACCTCCCTCGGATTCATCAGATGCTAACTCGAACGATCCCAGCTCTCCACAGGGTCGGATATTTCAGGTGGAATATGCACAGGAAGCAGTGAAGCAAGGATCCGTGGTTGTGGGATTGGTGAATAAGACACATGCCGTGCTGGTTGGACTCAAGGTTCGCAGACCTACGACAGAAAAAGAACAGACCAAACCGTCAGAACTAACATATGAACACCCTCTAGCGCAACGCAGAAGAGCTCTCCTCGTACCAGAAGAAGATCATCGAGATCGACTCTCACATGGCGATCGCCATCGCCGGCCTCGCATCAGACGCCCGCGTCCTCTCAAACTTCATGAAGCAGCAGTCCCTCGGCTCGAAGATGACCTACGGCCGGCCCATCCCCCTGGACCGAATCGTTGCCCAGATCGGTGACCGCGCGCAGACCAACACCCAGCACTACGGGAAACGGCCGTACGGTGTGGGTCTGTTGGTTGCCGGTGTTGATGAGGCTGGCCCGCACCTGTTCGAGTTCCAGCCCTCCGGGCTGACACACGAGATGGTTGCTTGTGCCATCGGTGCACGTTCGCAGATGGCCCGTACGTATTTGGAGCGAAACCTTGATAAGTTCCAGGACTGCAGTCGTGATGAGCTGATCCAGCATGGATTGAGCGCGCTAAAGGAGACACTGTCTCAGGATAAGGAGCTTACGGTGGAAAATACTTCTGTTGGTGTTGTCGGTGTGACTAATGGCAAGAAGGAGAACTTCAAGCTGTACGAAGGCCAGGACACGGCTGCGCTGCTTGAGGTGCTGGAGCAGCGCGAGTCCGCTGGTGCAGAGGGCGAGACCATGGAGGTTGATTCATAATTGTCTGATTTGGTTTAATGATTCGCATAGACATGAAATCCTGATTATGCTTTGTCTTGTGTTTGCGTCCAATGATCTCAGTTCTTCAATCATCAATTCGTAAGGCTCTTCTAACGAAGTAATTTACTTGTGTATGTATACATGCCTGAAGTTTTCCACTGCCGAAACTCGAACAGACCAGAAACAAACCCCAATCAAACGCAACGACATCTATATACTCGTACCCCATTTGTTTGATGATCAAACTAAGCAGCCTCATTCCTCTCCCCAGTTCAACTGCATCCGCCCATTACTGACCTGATAAGCCAGCAATTTGGGCCAGACCTCAGAAACCTCCCTGGCCTCCGCAAGAATCTCCCCATTACTAGCACTGATATAACCCTCCTTGACAGCATTGCGCACCCAAGCCAACAATCCGTCCCAGTACCCATTGATATTCAATAAAACAACGGCAACCTTATGAATCCCCAACTGATTCCACGTCGTCATCTCCATAACCTCTTCAATAGTTCCAAACCCACCAGCGAGCGAAACAAACCCAGACCCAGGTCCACCTTCAAGGACCTTCTCCGCCATCAGACGCTTGCGCGTATGCATATCGGCGACAATGGTCGTAAGGCCGTATTCCGACTCAGGAATTCCGTGACCATCAAGAGCATCAAAAGAGTTGACAACACGCTCCGCAGCTTTGCCGGGTTTAGCACTGGCCTGGCTCTCCGTGTGCTCGCGCATACCGCCGACTGTTGCGATTTTGACTAGTGCGCGGGGGATGATGCCGTGCACGGCTTTCGGGCCCGAGAGTGAGACCAGTGCGCGCGCTAATTCGCCCATTAGACCGGTTGTGCCGCCGCCGTAGACTAGTTGCACTTTGTGTTTGTGGAATTCTTCGGCGAGGGCTCGGGCTGCTTCCATGTGGACTGGGCTGTTGCCTGGGACGGAGCCGCAGCTGGGGACCCGAGGGGAATTTGTTAGTTCGATGTTTCATAGAAGAATTAGGTATATTGAACATATAGTCCCTGGGGTCACACCCCAGATAGACAACATGGTGTTGTTGTAACCTTGAAAGTGTCTTGGTGGTGGAGGGGTATGACTCACAATACACAGACAACGGCTGGCTTGGTTTCTGAGTCGGCCATTTTGGTGTATAGTTGGGATTTTATAGACAAACAAGAGGTCTTGAAAAAGGTTTGATCAGAGAATGATGAAGAAGAGAGGGAGCCTGACGCAGTAGTGAACCTGAGGCTAAATAGGTGAACCCCCACTCCGATAAGAGATAGCGGAGTATAACGTCAGGCTGTCGGGGCTGTCGGGGCTGACTCCAATTTTGCTCTTCGAAGTAATTTTCTGTGATATAGTTAAATTTACAGATAAGTACCTCAATTTATATTGTACATGGGATCTCGATAGTTTGTTCGTGGAGTTCCGGCCACTCGAGGTTAGAACGACTAGGGAATTCGGACTAGTGTGTACGGCAGGCCTTCATTGTGTAGACAACTGGGCTGTTTACAGGAACATTATTGGTCATTCACAAGAAAAGTCAGCTGCTTATGGGGCCGTTTCATTTCTTTTTGGTCTTCTGTTGAGATATCTTTTTTTTTTTCGCGGCGTAAGAATAGGTTCAATGTATCAAGCAAACTTCGAGTAGACTTCAGCTTCTTTAGAATTTCTTGGTCAAGACCCCCAATGGACTTTCCAACAGGCAGATTTCCATTCTGCTGCTTGAGTTAGTGAATCATTTCCAAAAAGGTTCCAATTGGAGAAACCAAGTCTTGGCTACTATGGCCATGGGGAATAGAGATTTGCATGAGTTCTGTGGGTGGACCTACCCTCGGTGCTTAAAGCGGCAGTATTAGTAGTATCCAAACGCTCGAGATTCACTGTATATAGGTGTCAAGCGGGGGCGATGTAACAACAGACGAAGAAAAAAGCGAGGGTGCGAGAGAAGGGGAAAACACTAGTATTTGTCTAGAGGTAATCCTGACCGCATTTAGTAAACATCACTCCTTCCAGTCCTGGAGGATTCTTGTCAGTTGGCTTGGTCATCTGGAGAACAGTAGCTCTTTCCCAGCTGAAATCCAATTGGTTCGGAATACGGTTCGACTTATGAAACGAGCTTTGTGAATTCAGCGCCAGAACCATTATCGCTTCAAAGGTTATACATAGAGAAGTCCTCTGGCCAGTTTCATGCTTTTTACTGCCTTCGTATATCGTACATATTATAAAGCCCGTTCTGTGATTACTACCGTTTATTCTCCTTTTAGCCCGTTTAGAAGCTGTAATACCGACAGGAAACATATTTAAAAAAAGTCATCTAAAGGCGCTTAAAAAGACATTAACAAAGATATCTAAATACAGCACTTAAAAACCTCGGCGTATTATCTTTAGCTAGATAGGCAAATCAGGTTATTAAAGTCCTACGTCGTTAACGACAGACGCCGTGTTCGCGTGTTCGCGGCTGGCAACTCTTGTTTCATCGTAGCTGGAGTCATGTGGACTCACTTATTCACATTTTTAGAAAGAACAATTTGAATTATTGTCGCACTGAAAAAGAAGTGTAGATTTTAAATGCATTCTATCAATGATTCATCCGACTGAATAATATGTCTCCGAAGTCGAGCGCATGAATTGATAAGCGAAGAGAGTACGATCAATGTAAAGTTGAGAACTCAATGTTAATTTTGAGCCGAACCAATCGGGTATCGAGTTGACTTCCGGGTTTGGCCCCGTTTGATCCGTAGTCGGAAATCAACTAAGTCTCTGATTGGCTGACGGGATACATCTGGCTTTTCTACACGGAGTTCACATAGCTGTAGACTACGTTTCTTCATGAATGATTGTAAACAATGTCGGATATATATCATTGCATCATTGTACGAGAGCGGCCTGGGGGAACTGTTAAATAATTCATCCGACTGTTGAAGTATATATAGCTAACTAGCTAGCAACCACACAAAGTCAATTCAAACCGTGAAGCCAATCATGGGAGACCCAGAGAATGCTCTTAAAGTAAGGCTCCTAGCTAGTTTAACAAGCCAAGAGGGGCAGAAAGTCTAATTGTGCAATCGAAACAGGTCCCCACGGAGAAAGTCCCTTCGATCATTTATCGCCCATCTGGTCGGCCATTGGGTATTATCTATGAGAATGTGACAGTGCTTGGTGCACAATCCGGAGCGGATGGTATTTCGAACTTGCCAGCAATCCTGTTTAAAATTGCGAAGTGGCCATTCTCGAAACTCCTCACGAGAAAAACCGCTGCATCTACTAAGATCATAGAGAATGTATCAGGCGTTCTTTTCCCTGGTGAGACTTTGTTGGTATTGGGCCGGCCAGGGTCGGGCTGCTCAACTGCCTTGAAAGCTATAGCCAACAATCACGAGTCTTTCCAGGACGTGCACGGTATGGTATCCTATGCCGGTCTAGAATCAAAGGAGATGCTTGAAAAGTTTCCTTCAGAGGTCATATATGTGAGCGAAGAGGATATCCATTTCCCAACGCTCAAAGTGAAAGACACACTTGGCTTCGGTCTTCGCCTTCGCAAGCCTGCCTCCGAGCAGAGAGATGATGCCATTTTTGCCGACGAGATGACGGATGCAACATTGTCTGCCATGGGAATGATGCATACAAAAGACACGATCGTGGGTGATGCGTTTATTCGTGGATTGTCGGGAGGTGAGAGAAAACGCATCACTCTGGGGGAGGTTCTTGTTGTTAACTCAGCGTTTGGATCATGGGACAATCCCATCCGTGGTTTGGATAGCTCATCTGCCA